CATTAGCACCTCTAGTAATATATTTACTGAGAAAAATGGTGACGTGTTCAATACTTATTTTACCCGCTGTATGTTTTATACTAAACTGATACCACTGATAATGAATAGATGTGAAAATAACAGAAACACATGGATTAGTTGTTTATACTTTAAAGACACTTACATTAAGAACACCAACATAAATTCTTTATTATGGTTCTTCTAATTTTGAGTGGCCGTTCTTTATTTTTAGTTCATCAAAAAGTAATTGATTGTTGGGAAAAAGCTTTCTAAGTTCAGCAGTAACAGGCTGGTCTGTGTATTATAAAGGGAGCATTCCCCTGAACAAACAATGTTGTGTTTCTGTGTGCAGATGATGATCAGTGTAAAGAGTCCGATGTGATCAACTCCACTCAGGGTTTCTATTTTCTGACGGGTCTCCAATCAGGAACACAATACCGCCTAAAGATTGTGCATGGAAATGATACTCACTGGCAAAAAGAGATATGGACCACAGGACCAGGTGTGTATGCTTGTATTTTTGTATGTGTGGCAGGGGGTCCGAAATCTGCAATATTGGGTTTATACTTAAAATTTTGAATAATTACAAATTAAAGGTCAATTATTCCATAAGACTCCTACTTGCACGCCACCTTTCAAGCCAAAGTTTTACACTGAGATCATCTTATGTTCAAATAAAAACAAGGTTTTAAAAATCACATTACACATGATCTCCTGCATTATTGTGAAATGGCACACTTAAAATATATCTTACGAATAACTCAGCTACTAATAAATCACATTTTAGTTCAGTACTGTACAACTGACTGTTATTTCCATTTTGTGTGGGCTAATGTTGATTTCCCATYCTGGCCAGCTTGAACGGGATTAACTCCAAAAATGACTCAGTTGTTGATTTACATCCAATAATTACAGTGGGGTGTAAAGGTTTGGGCAGCCTTGTTAATTTTCCTGATTTACCTTTATAAATCATTGATTGTTTGAATAAAACATATCAGTAAAATATATCATATAAGGGGACAAACACAGTGATATTTGAGAAGTGAAATGAAGTTTATTTGATGTGGTGTCTAGGTTTTTTTTTCAGTGATTTTTGGTCAACCGTAGCACAAAAACAGCTGCACCAATCAACATGAAATTTGTCAGGACTGTAGATGAGTCTGACCTACARTGCACCAGCCAACGGTTTTATGATAGACCCCATATTTGTGGAGGGGGCTCCTTTCAAAGTGGGGGTGTCTGGACATGCAAAAATGCTTATAACTCAGAAACTGTTCAACATAGAAGCTTCAGATTTATTTTGTTGTTTAGCTCTGATGAGGGGATATCCATCAGGTCCACCAATGCCCCCACCCCACCCCAAAAAAAAGACCACCCTCCCAAGCCAGTACGATTTTGGTATGCACCTAGTAGCATGACATTTATTAGGAATAAAGACTTCTGAGTTCTGGTGTATTTGTGCATGCGGGGTTCATTATGTTACCGCCATGTGGTGTCTAGTTTATTTAGAAGTTTATTCATTTCATTAAAAACTAAACAACTATATACAACAGAAAACTTAAACATACAATCAAAAATCAAATTAAATAAAAGGCAGCAGAAGAAGAATAAATTTTATACTTGCTCCATTTTTCTCCAGAATATGTTCAATCAAAAAAAAAAACTAAATTAAATCAACATCAACTCAAACAGCAGTTCATATGATTCCTATTATCCTAAATGTATTCTATATACTGATTATATAGCATTATGCTTTTCCATATTCCTTCAGAAAACTAACTTTTATCATTCTCTTAAATATGTATGTTTTGTCTTGTGTGTCTTTTTGAATGGGTGTTCTTAAATGTGATTTTATTGTGCTCTAAAGACATCATCATCATCAATCAATCGATGTACAAAGATCTGGCATTTTTAACATCYTCCTCCAGACCATTCCACAATCCTATTCCCTGGATTAAAGTAGATCCCTCCTTCAAAATGGTACAAAACCAAGTCTTTACAAACATCTCTATCCCCTTAAGAAAATTACAACTCTCTCTCTTAACAAAGTTTACTTGGATGTTAGAAGGTAATGTTTTGTGAGCCCAATGAATAAACATTAAAATATCATAGTCAACCAAATGAAAGAATTTTAATAATTTCAATTGATAAAATAATGAATTTGATGTATTTGATGCCTGCAATATTTTCTAGTGATAATTCTCAAAGCTCTTTTCTGTAAAAATAAAAATAAAAAAAGGTGACACATCTTTATGGCTGCAGGACCCAGGCACCTGTTCTCCAGTTTATTATTATTATTTTTTTTATTTTTTGGGTTTATTTTGTTGTGCTTAACTGTGCAAAGACAAATAGGTTTCCCCTGTTCCACGGGCTTGGCCCTGGGTTTATAATGATCTCCTTCTGTCTCCTAGTACCATCAGAGATGCCTGGTGGATTTGACACCCAAGGCTGGTTAATAGGACTCATCAGTGCTATTATCCTGCTCATACTGATCTTGCTCATTCTCTGCCTTGTTAAACGCAGCAGGGGTGGAAAATATGCAGGTACACCCACACACAAGCTGGCACAGCAAACTCTTATAWGGGACCTAAAATATTATTGATGTACGACTTTTATTCATTTGACTTTTTCAACCACAGTGAAGGACAAAGAAAATAAGGAGGTGGGTTCTGAAGTTTGGCCAATGAAAGACGAGACCTATGGAGATTACAGGTGGGTCAGCTAAAGTAAAATTATAACCATATATATTTGCATTTGTACACTGATTTATCAACAGAGAACTACTGTATATTTTGTGTGTTTTTAAGCAGCCATTATCATGATGAACTGCAGGCCTGAATTCAACAGCTGACAGTTTGTCTTTCGCTGGTATCAATTTAGGGGGGAAAAAATGCACATCCTTGAATTTAAGAGATTTCAAGGCACTCAGCCCTTACACATGTTGAAATCTGTTGGTGATACAACCTAGCATGAAGATTTKTCATCTTCCTACTGGTATTTGTAACAGCATCTCAAGGAAAAGAGCAAAGCACGAGGAGTTATGTGCTGCACCGCTGTCTTCAAAGGAACTCATCTCAGTTCAGCTTTATTTTTATTGCACATTTTTTCCAATGGAGACAAAGTTAAAGTGCATGACAAAGCAACAGATAAAATTAGGCACACCAGTATGCAACCATAATGGGATTGTAACAGATTATAACTACTTTTTTTTACTCAAATACTWAATATGTTGGAAAACAAGTGTTCATGACCAGAATCAGGTTTTTAAATTTGAGCTTCTTATAAAATGAGATTTAAGGTASAGTATGCAGCTTTAATGAGAGGTTAGAATGTCGAGATCAGAAAAAAACTAAGCAGAAATCAGACATGAATGAGGCCGGTCAGTTGATTGTAAAAATTTTGCCTTGTCTTGAGAGATACAGTAAGCAAATAAAAAAATGGCAGTTGTGTCAGGAAATGTAGTTCATCCTCTCCTCAGGTGAGGAGTCTCAGACATCGCATCTATAAAAAACTGCAAAAAGACATAAAACCCTGTTGTTTCTGTTTGATACATGATTTAAAAACATAAATACTTTTATTATAGTTTTAGCAGGTAGTTTTTCACATTTAGACATTGGTTGGCAGCACTAATCCAAAAATTAGCTCCGCAATTTCTAAAGCGCTTATGAAAATATTTAGGTCCACAGCTTCAAAAACACTTATGTCATAGAAAAATTAGCAGAAGCTAATTTTAAAGCACAAGTTGAATTTTACACCTAATAGCTGACAATTTATGTACAATATGCTCAATACTGCCAACTAGCGGTGTATGAATCCTTGTACTGCTTAATACTACAACTGCCGATTGCTGGGGATCTGATTTCCTGAAACAGACCTTTAGCTCCTGGTGTAAAAATTAAAAACTTGATGAGGATTACTAGTTCGGCTGCTTCTTTGTCTTTTTCTTTTGTTTGTTGTAGATTTTTCATTAAAGAAGCATCAATAAAGTAATTTTAAAACAGTTTATTGGAAAACTGAAGCGATGCATTCTGGGTACATGACAGACTGACGGGAAATGAAAGCACGGGGAACAGGAAACTAGTATCTTCCCTTCAAAATAAGAGCTTGGATTTTAAAGTTTCCCAGTTCACCTGAAACTCATCAGACTGAAGAAGTCTCTTGGAGGAGAGATGAAACGTTTCACTAAAGAAGAACCATCCAGAGGACCTACTGATTTTTTCTTTTTGATTTTTTTTCTACCTGGATTAGGATATTTTCCATGTAGTTGCTCCAGTTGACCACTAGATGTCAGTCTTCACCAGCATAACATCTTTAAATCATTTCTGAGTCTCTAACCCCGTTGGCCGATTGCTTTTGAGCTCCAGCATTCAAACTTTATTTTTTAAAAAGGAGCTCCGATTGTAAAGTAAAATAAATCAATACATACAAAATTTTAGTATGGATTACAAACGTTTACTGTTTTTGCTATTGCCTTCCTGCTACGTAAGCAGACACAAAGCATTGTGGGAAATCAGAACCGTGGCTCAAAGCAACAGTCAGCAAGGATGTATACCTTCACAATAAGAGTGTTTATCTGGGAGGGGTGCTGTTGGATAGATCACGTGTTGTGATTCATTGACTGTCATACCTTCTGCTGTTCAACTTAATGATGACTGGTAGATAATTAGTTATTAGTGGTACTGCATTTTAATTTTAGAAAGCACAAATCCACTTATGAATTATAAGAATTAGTAAGTCCYCTAAAGCACAAATGAGATATTTAGGTCCGCGATTTGCGCTTTAGCGGACTTTTGCCCACCACTGCATTATAAACAGAACTGAAAATAATTATCTCAGGATAATTATCATAAGCCTCTACCATTAGCCTCAGCAAGMCTCCTCCAACCTGAAGTGCTGAGGGTGAAGGGGAGTCTGAGAGAAAACACAGCGAAGTAAAACTATATATTGAAGCCTAGCAAGGATTCTTTCCATTGTTCTTTTCCATGTACAATTATTATTACAATACTCATTCTTATTTTTTCCTTCCTTAATGCTTTTCCTGCAGATCCCTGGAGAGGTGAGGGAGTCAACCATCTCTCTGTTGCCATCTGTTTGTTTATGACACATTTTGATTGAAATTAATGCTGCAGTTTTATTTAAAGCAATTTTCACAGCAAAATCATCAATCGTTTCAATCCCTGCCAATCAAAGCTGAGTGATTAACTCAGAAGATATGTGGGTCCATTCAATCACTTCTTCTTTGGCCAAGATTCAAAGTTATTTTTTATTTATTTTATTGATCCCTTTGTGGGGCAATCAATTCTCTGCTTTTTACCCATCGCACATGTGAGCATGTAGTGCAGTGGGCTGCCATTTTTGAGGCAGCGGCAAAGGGGTTAAGGGCCTTGCTCAAGAGCCTTGAACCAGTGACCTACCAGTCACAGGCTCACCTTCTCTAGCATCTGCAGCTCTGTCTGTGTCCTCAATAACAAAAAATAAATACAATAAAATAAAATAAAATAAAATGAATAAAAAAAGCAGATTTATCTTTGTGCGTACTTTTTACCCAATAATCAGTCATCATGAGTCATGCATCACCTAAACCTACCTAAACAATCTGACCCAAGTAGCTAAATATCAGACTAATTGATTTTGTGCACTGCTGCTAAGATTTCAGAGGATAACAGCTGATTTAATGGTCCTCTTAACCTGAAAAGTTGTTTTTTTTATTTCTGACTCAACTGGTTGACTCATTTCATGTAGTTACTTATGAACACATGAACTTAACTRTGTGTCAGTGTTACACTCTTAATATCACTGAGCTGTGACAGTGCTGTCAGCTGATGAGTAATGGTACAACATTGTCAGGAAAAGTTGCATATTCATTTTTTTCCACTGAGCTGCTTTTTCAGCTCAGCTACTGTTTATGTAAGAGCATCAATATTTACAGTGATGTCAGTGTTTAAAAAAACAAAACTCAGCCGCTTTTTAAAACACGCCCAAAAAATCCTGAAACAAACATACGACAAATTGATCTATACCTCCAAAATTAATGTATCTACAGTTGTGAGACTTTTTACTCATTTACAACAATCCATTTATGACATTTATAATGTTTAATGAAGAAAATATTAAAATTTACTTTACACGGTCTTTAAGGTCAGTGTTTAGAGTCAGTGTTTACAGTCAGTGTTTACAGTCAGTGTTTACAGTCAGTATTTACAGTCAGTGTTTACAATTATGTCAGTGTTTACAGTCAGTGTTTACAGTCAGTGTTTACAATTATGTCAGTGTTTACAGTCAGTGTTTACAGTGATGTCAGTGTTTACAGTCAGTGTTTACAGTGATGTCAGTGTTTACAGTCAGTGTTTACAGTCAGTATTTACAGTGATGTCAGTGTTTATAGTGATGTCAGTGTTTATAGTGATGTCAGTGTTTACACTCAGTGTTTACATTGAATCACCAGACTYTCCCTTTAAGCACCAGCTGTCTTAATGACAGATGATGCTCTGAACACTGTCTTCTCAGTCAACAACTAACAGCTCCACAGAAAACCCCTTCAGTAAATCTGTATTTTAACCATATTCTCACAGTGAACACATTTTTTTGGGCATCTCTTGCAGCCCCATGCTGAACGTCACAGGTTGACTTAGCAACTTAGCTCTACTTATGTAAAATTAGAAGCTTAGAAGTGATTTTGTTTTATATCTGTGACAAACAATGTTATTCCATCCCATTTTCACTTAGACTACAATCACATAAATCATACATAAAAGGCCAAGACGACACATATTGTTATTGCACATATTGCTGTATATTTTTTGTATGACCACACCAGGAAAATGCAGTAAATGTAATTTTTCTGTCTGCTGCGCCTTGTTTTTTCCTTTTTGTTGTTGTTGTTGTCTCTGTCTCCTAATTTTGCTTTATCATGCAAGTTCTCTTTTTACTGTCTTTTAAAAGCCTAATTATAACATTTCACATCCCTCCCTGTTTGTAAGCTTTGCGTTTGTGATTGCTAAATACAAAAGGCTTTCCTTGTATAAAAATTTGTCARAGCCACTAATGTTTTTTTCCTTTTGTGTATGTGTGTTTTTAGTGAGGGAGATGAGAAGTGCTCTGACAGCCAGCGGTCTCTGTGTGACGACAGTAAAGTGGGGAGTGACGACTCTCTGGCTGAGTATGGAGACAGTGTGGACATCCAGTTCAATGAAGACGGCTCTTTCATTGGCCAGTACAGTGGCCATGGACCTGTTCCTCCTGGAAATGATGGCTCTGGTCCAGCCTCTCCAGATTCAGTCCCTCCTCCCGTCGTCGCTCCATCCATGTCAAGCATCCTCAACCGGCCGAGCTAGACACACACAAAACAACAAAACAAAAATACGACATTTGCACATGCATGCATACAATAAAACACTAAAGGGACAGACCACTCCTGCTTCCACTGCCTGTTACACACACACACAAACACACACACACACACACACACACACACACACACACACACACACACACACACACACA